CCCACTCCTGCCAGTTAGTTACTTCATAAAATAAATGTTTCGATCCAAACTGAAGAACACCTCCCTTTCCCCTCCCAAATAAAACCCCAGGAGACCGCACTCAGGTAAAGCAAAATGCTCAACCTGAATCAAAGCAGCATTGCAGTTTGTTTTGCAAATTCTTTGCAAAAGCTAAACGGAAAATTAGATAAAGCTTTAGGTACTCTTCACAAGTGACAGTTCTGGTGGGAGTTCTCCTGATCCCTTCTTTCCTTGCAGACTTTGTAGTCCTCTCTCCCACAACCTCCTCACTTTTCTTCCTTCTGCTCAGATTTCTTCTTTGATGGAATATAAGAAACTCAGATTCAACTTGGCTCTTTCTTTGAGAGTTCCTGAACTCATATGCGTGGATTTGAACTCATTTTCCTCTATCTTCCAGAAGAACAGGTAGAAACAAAGCTGTAGGATGCTGAGGAGTAGGTTTGTCTTTCTCACGCTCTTGTCATTTCACTACATAAAAGATGTCTGGTTTTCAGAGGAGTGCTGCTGCCAAACACGGGTGTGTAAAGTGCATGTAAAGAGCCTGCAGCTCTGTGTGTCTCCAGGAGTTCTGTGCAAATGGAATGGCTTTTTAGGAGACAGGGAGGGCAATCTAGCTTGTCCACCAGAAACCCATTTAGACATTTCCTGAGAAGTCCTCCTCACTACTGACTTCAGTGGTGAGTATGGAGTGAGTTTCTGCAATTTCTGCTTCAGGTGCCCATTTACTTCACCAATTGCCATTTCCCTATGTGGCCTTTCCCAATTGCTTTGAGAAAAAAACTTTGAGGACATTAGGCCTTTTTTTTTTTCAGTTGTTGTCGTTGTGTGTTTTGTTTTTTTTTTCCCTATATGTATAGTCACACTGGAATTTACCAACCACTAAATGATGTGTGCATACGTGTGCCTGTGTTGACACTTTTTTTGTTGTTTTGAAAATGTAAGTATTTTCTACCAACAATGAAAAATGTTGCCTGCATCTCCATGGTGGAACTAAATGAAGGAGTTCTGGAGCCTGCATTCCTCTGCTGTCAGCAGTAACTTGAAAGCTGCTGGCAAAATGTGTATTTTATCTGCTGCTGGTGCCTATGAAGACAACTGCCTACTACTGCTACTATCACTACTGGCTCAAGTGACAGATGTCTGTGTTACACTTGGTGTAAAAGCCTGGAATCTACTGTCAAAATCTGTGGGCAATGGTGCACCCTTCCTCTTCTGCTTTGAATGGTGGAGGAGCGGTGTTACAGCATTGAAGTTAAGAGCACCTGATACATAGTGCAGAGGGTAGAACTCCTCATGTCCTGTTTTGTTTCACATTGAAAGCTTCACTTTTGTTAGCCAATGTGATAAAAACATGAGTATGTATATTTATGTTACTCCATGCTGTGCATGCTTAACCCTTCATTTAAGGAACTGTTATGTTTGTAGGCTTAGAGTCTTCATATAACTGTGTAGTATTCCAGAACATTTTGTTTGGGATAGCAATTCAAATAACAGTTTACTTCAAATTCAGACTGTGCATTACCATGTATTGTTGACAGGACAGCTGTAATGCCATAAATAAGTAAATAGTTACATTGCTAGTGAATTTTTGCACAGAAGAAGAGGAAGTTATGAAAGAAAATTGGAAAATTTGCTAACGTATGGATCTGTACAGATAAATAAACAGTAAATAAGAGCACAGAGATTTTAGAAGGAATTGAAAGCTTTGAATAGATGAGCGGTATTTTAGACAAGTCTTAATATAGATAGCATTACAACAGTGCTGATTTGACTCCATCCTGTTTTTGCAACGTCTGTTCTAGCACTTCAGGCTTTATGGTGTGTAACTTTGCCCTGACTGATTACAATTTGAATCAGCAATAAGCCACCTGAACACGGTCAGCTCCATCTCCCAATAGAAGCAAGAGATTTGAACTCTTGCTAGTCTCTTCATGTATTTTGATGTATGTTGTAGAGAGTCTTTTCAGGATAATGTCCCTTTTTTCAATATGCACCTCTATGAAAAGAGTTACAGAGCTAGGCAAGTGGAAATTCACAGTCATGAAGTGTAGGTAATTCACTTCAAATTCAGCCAGCTAATTTTAACATCATGCACGTGGAGCTTTGAAAATGCAAATTATGGCCTTGAACTGGACTGTCTTTAAATAAAATATGTAGTATTGCAAAATATATAATCTCTGGGTGGTGAGGGGAAGGTGTTGTGGAGAAATCCATAGTGAAGTCAACATATTTAGCCTAGATAACAAGGAGATTTAACTACAGTTTGTAACTTCTATGATATTTGGTGGCAGTAGCTAAATGCATATGCAGAAAGTTTGGAATTAATTCTTTAGATATGAAGTCGAAACAAGATTAGGATATATTTTGAGTAGGTAACACTGATCCGGCAGTTGCAAAGTGTTTGGGTTTGGCACAGGGGCAGGTTTTTGGCCTGCAGAATGAGAGGTTTGAGTGCTTTGTGGCTGGCATTGGTCTGGGCAGATTGAGCAGGCCGTGCGGTTGGTGTGGTGGGAGAGGGACGGGGCCTGCATCTCTCCTCGTCATGAACCTTTCCTCATAACCAAAATAAAGACAGGGATGGAGTTTAGAGAGTGGGTAGTGGGTCATGCCATTTCATCTTTCAAAAGCTTGAATTGATTGTTAAATCTTGATTCCTCTTACTCTCACAGTGCTGTTAAGCTCAGGGTGATACTTGGGAGAGTGAGTTGCGGGATGGTGGATGGGAGAGGGAGGTTTCCCCCTCTTTGCCAGGCTCTCATTCCCTAGTAAGACCAGGTCAGCTGGGGTGTCTGGTACCTCAGCCTCGATGTGTGAGCTGCCACATTTACACATTGCAGGGTGTCCTGTGGGATCATGAGAGAGAAACAGGGAAAGGACATCACACACCTTTATTCAGCCCTTCAGGATCCATCCTTATTCTGTAACTTCTTCAACATCAGGCTCTAAGCATGCCTGAGTGATACACATACAGGGTTTTCCCTGTGTGTAGAACATACATAGCTTCACGTGCAGGAGAGAACAGCACATGAGGGACTCTAACAAACATTGTTTGAGGCTTAAAACAGGCCGGTGGATGGGTGTAACTCTTGGGACCAGAGGAATGTAGGGCAGGACGTAGTTACAGATAATGTCCTTGCTGCCCTCTGTGTTTGCGCTTAATTTTAATGCATCTCTCCAGTGCTGCAAGATCAGTTGCAATATTATTATTCTTTATCTAAAGCTTTTCTGAACTTTTAGGAAGGACTGCATTAATACAGCTCCCCTGCCGCTTAACAATGCCCTTTTCTTTTCCTAGAAAAAAATAGATTTAGGCCACTGTTGTTTCTTTGTGTCGCTGAGATGATTCATTTGGGCCATGGGAGGAGAATGACAGTTACTTGCTACGCAAACCTTTCCTGTGATTCATGGAGTACCATTTGTATCAGCCTTGAAGGAGGCACTTCATATGCTTCCTAGCAGGAAGGAAAAAGAGCATGGTCACAGCTCCCCAAGAGGATATGGAAACTGGGTGGGAGGGAAGGGGAAGGGGAGAGGGAAGCGCTGATTATTCAGAAGAAACTTGCAGGGATGCCAAGATTCTGTCTGCATTACCCATTAATCTGCTTAATGAAAAATGGATGCATACCAAGCCTGTGTATAATTAAGGGAAACATCATGACTGTAATTGCCATGTTCACAAAAGAGTATGGCTTATTATGTAACTTTTGCTTGTGTAAATATATCTTGGAGCTTTTCCCGCTGTCTCCTGAGCCCATCACTGTTTCGTGTGGTACGAAGCTTCTGTCCCTGAGCGATGTGTTTCAGCGACAGGTCCAGGTTTTACTCGGGAGCAAAGGGGCCAGGCCCAGTGCTTTATGCTGCCTCTCTGCAGAGATGGAGTTTTGTGCAATTAAGTAGTTTAAAAAGCTCTACAATGATTTTCTCCCTAAAATAACAACATGATTGACTGCTTAATCTGCTCATAAACAGGAATGCTCCGTTAAATGACTCCTCCTGTCTCTGCATTACAGATTTGGGTGCTTTTTCACTGCGTCCAGCTCCAAACTGCTTCCAGCTCCTTTCCTTACACCTGGAACTTCCAGGGTAGGAAAAAAAGGGACCAGAGTAGATGAAGATTTGTCTTTCCCAGGTTCACAGAAGGGCTAGAGGCCTGTGCTGCCCGTGCTCCCACAGTTGGCCGTATTTGGTGTGATACAAAAGCACCTGTGTCAGGAGCTCGAGCTGCGGCCGCGCGGCCAGGAACGGCTCTGAGGATCCCCAGCTATGCGGCCCCAGCTGCCTGCACGCACGGCACAGCTAAAACGGGAAGGCACTGTGTAACTGGAGATGAAAGCAGCGAAATTAGGAGCAGTGCAGAAGAGAATAAAAATGGAAATGAATTACTAATTGCATGTCCTGTCCTCATTGATTTTTTGCTGGCAATTAAAATTTTGCTGTTTGATCTATCAACGCTATTCCGCCTTCTATTAATTCTCATATCATAAAATTCTGCCTCTATTTTGACTTGGCAGTACCTATATTTACTGGGGGAAAGGGGCCTAATTTTAGCTTTGAACTGTACTGTAGTGAGAAGACATTTAAGTTTCTTCTCAATATTTCTGAGGCCCCGTGATGAGTCATGAAATACAACTTTTGCAGAAAATACCCTGATTGCCTAATGACTAGGTGTTGGTAGATGAAATTACACACACACTCTGCCGTTCACATGAAACCAGGGAAGTGTCTTTCTGAGTAAGCTGTTTGTTCAAGTTACTCAAGAAATGTCAAGGTTTATGGTTGCAAAATAGGTAAGAAGTATATGATTGAGGAGCTTGCAAACACCTGCTCTTCCTCACAGATGCTGAAATACAGTTACTGCATTTTCATTCACAGTGTAACAAATTCATAGCATTAATATTTGTTTTCATACCTGCAAAAGGAAAATTGCTGCCTGAAGCTAATACAGTTGATCACCCATGTACAAATACTTTGTTTTGCAGATGATGTAGAAGAGGTTGACGGTGTGGAAAAGGTGATGTTAGAATATGCTGCTATGGACAGAGAACTTAATCATTACATGACAGCAATTGAAGAAACAGTCCATCAGGTAAACTGGCACTTTTATTAGAGCTACCCTATGTATGCTTACTTAAATATTTTAACTATTAAATACAAAATGTTACCTCGAAATAATACAATGTTGGAAAAACTAGATTTTTTTTAAAGGCAGGTTACTAAGGTTGCCCATACAGGTGCAGTTTGCTTCCCAGCGTGCACGCCTTGCGGTACACTTTGTAATGACGTGTTCAGTAGTATTTTCCACAAAATTCCTGCGGAGATGAATAGTGCCCTGGGAACAAATGCAGACTGTGTAGCTGAAACGTCCGTGCTGGACGGCGCTTGCTTCACGTGCTGAGGAGGACAGAGGCTGCACGATGAGTGAGGTGGCTGACTGCAGGAGTAACCAAGTGGCTGCAGCAGAGCTCGTGAAACCTGGTTTCCTGGCTCTTTCTGCCACATGAGTTTGCTGGTGCTTAATAAAGGGGGAGCGCGTTAACTGCTGGATCAATTAACCGGCGTCTCATTTGATACCTGACCACTCATTTCTGTGAGACTCAGGGCACTGCGGTGTTTGGAGGGGCTCTGCCGAACGGCAGGGACTGCTGCAGGGGCAGAGACAGCGGCCGCGGGGCGCTCGGCCTGGCCTGTCTCAGCGTGGTTGGCCCTGCTCGGTTCCGCTTGGCTCGGCCCAGCTCAACTTGTCCTGGCCCAGCTCAGCCAGGCTCAACTTGACTCTGCTCAGTCCAGCTCGGCCTGGTCAGTTCCGCTTGGCCCAGCTAGGCCCTACTTGGCTCAGCCCACCTAGATTCTACTCGGCCCCATTCGGCCTGGCTTGTTTCCTCTCGGCTCAGCCCAGCCTGGCTTGCTCGACTCAGCTTGGGCCAGCTTGGTTCTGCTTGGCCCCAGTTGGTTCCTTTTGGGTCCGCTCACGAGGCCTGGCTTAGTTCCGCTCAGCTTGTCTCAGCCTGGCTCAGCTCAGCTTTGCCCTGCTCAACTTAGCTCAGCCTGGCTTAGTTCCACGCAGCCCGGCTTGGTCCTATTCGGCTCAGCCTGGCTCAGCTCAACCTGACCTGGTGCCGCTCATCTTGGCCAGCTCAGCTGGGAGAGCTCTGCTCAGTTCCACTCGGCTGCTCAGCCTGGCTCGGTTTGGCCCAGCCCGGCCCGGCCCAGCTCGGCCGCCAGGGGGTGCCGGGGCCCTGCTCTCCTGCTGTGCTTGGTGTCATCGGGCCCTGCTGCCCTCCTCGCAGGTCCCTTCTCCTCCGCGGCGGCCACTTCCCCGCACATCCCCACAAGCCGCTCGGCTCCATGGCCCTGTCCCCGCGCCGCTCTGTCCTTGCTCATCGTGTCTGGAGAACTTGACTTTCGAAATAACCCATGCTGGCGGCTTCAGGTAGAGTTTTAGGTGCCAGTTTTGTGGGGATTTTTCTAGAGAAAGCAAAGGTGCATTGTGCTCTCCCCTCAAGATAAAAGATGTGCGCTCCAGGGTATAACAGGAGGGCAGAGAAATGTATTTTTCCTCAATTTTTAATCTAAGCAATGTTTACGTTTTCATTTGGTAAACTGTTTTTCCTTTAATACTTTTTAAGTATCATCCTGAATCAGATACGGAACCTGAAAAAAAAAATCATCCAGATAGGTGAATATCATATATTTAGAAGGAGCTGAACACTGCCAACATTGGCAAATGCTGGTCAGCATTAAATGTGTTCTCTGTGCAGTCTCTAAATACATGGTTCAATTCACTCGTCCCCATAATTGCAGAGCTGCTAGCATATATTTGTGAGATCAGTCAGGAGTTTTTCCTTTTCCTTGGAGTATTCATTATTTTTAAAGCCTTACTAGTAAAATCAGAGATTAAAGAGGTTTTACAGGGCTTCAGTGAAACATAGGGGGTACTTGTATTTATGTTGTATTCACTTATATTGTGTCAGAGACCCTTCCTTATTTGGATAAAAAAAGCTCCTTCCCTATTTTTTCTTTTCATAGACTTTAAGAATGAGGCTCCAGGACATAAAATAAATTTAGGAGATAAGATCCTAAGGCTAATCAGCCTCACTTCTCCTGTCCCTTCCTCCTACCTCTCTCCAGGGAGTTTTCTGTACTTTCCACTGCCAGCACCCTGAAAAAATCTTTTTGAATAAGAGAAAGAAATAACATATATAAGATTCTGCAGCAGAACAAAGATACAAAACTGTTCACTAAAAATAAAAGCTAATGCTTCGTTGAGGGCATAGCTGTGTGTGCTGCCTTACACAGTATGTCTGCATTTACCTGTTGGAGACCAGCTTAAAATCTGCTTCAGGAAATAGGGATTACTGAAGTGAGGACTGCACGTGGAGGCAGCTGTAGAAAAGCCTGTGTTTAAAATAGCCTCTGCTGGCTCCCCAGTGCAGCCAGTCCCTGCCCTGAGGGCTTCCCCTGGGAAGCTGCAGCAGGTCATGCATTTTCACAGGCCAACTGTTTTTGTATACGATATAAACAACATTTGTTTCAACTTGAAAAAAAATAATTATTTTGTAAGTTTGTTACCCTTTTTTTTTCTGGTCTTTTAGTTTTCTCATGCAGCTGTAGCTTGCATTCTATAGTAGGTTGTATTCTGTATTTCACCTTCTTATCACCCGCTTGTCCAACTGTAAGTTAGCAAGATAAGGGTAACTTGCCCTCTCTGCAAACAGAGTTAGAACTCTAGATTTATTATTTTATGTGCACATTTAAGCAGCATTGACAAAATGCTGATATTGTGCAACCAGAGTATGTAATATAAGTAACGAGGAACTTGCATGAAGTGCAGTCGCAGGCTTTTAAAAAACAAGTTTTTGTTGATTTAGGCTGCAGTTGGAGGAATGCAGAAGATGAAACATATCAGCATCCTCTTCTGTTTGAATCATCAACCTGTTGAGTAAGAAATGAGCAATTGAAACACAGTGTTTCCAACAATAGGCTGTGGGAAATCCTTTGTCTGTGGAAACTCCCTGTGCCACTGGATTTTCTTGTACCTGTGTAATGACTGGGCTCCTCCTCCTGCTGCTTCTTTCATTTATAACGGGTATTTTTAAAATTTATTAGCCAACATTTGGGCTGTCTCCATGCAAAATCCAGACAGCACTCTTGTCTTTAGTATACACCCCCACAACAACAAAACAGACTGCGACCACAGTAAGATTGTCTCTTACTGGCTACTTTATACTCTTGAAGTGGACCCAAGTGATTGGGACTCACCAGGCTGAGCTCAGCGTCCCCTGCTCTGGGAGAGCTCTCAGCTGGTAGAGGGCCAACATACTCTGCCTGCTCGCGGTTCCCACTCTGCTTTCTAGGTTAGGAGAGGGTTGGCAATAGTCTCTGATTGCTATCTCTGCTTTTCAAGCATTTGGCTTGTTTCAGGCTTTAAAAGCTGGAGTAAGTTCTGTGGAGGCCCAAGATATCTGTAAAGAAAATAAATCTCAAGGTCTATCTAGAGAACAAGGAAGTCATAACAAGCTCTCTTGTTATTCCTGCCTCTCCTTTGCTCTGCAGCTCCCCACGTCTCATGGTAGTGGCACTGGGGATAAAGGTTGCTTTGCATTTTCTGTTGTAAGGTACCACTTTGCTAAACTTGCCTATTTATCTTGCTTGTATTCTGTCTGCCTTCTGCTGCACCTCAAGTTGAGAGGAAGGTCCTCCGGGTGTCCCTGCTGGAGCAGGGGGTTGGACTAGATGATCTCTAGAGGTCCCTTCCAACCTCAACCATTCTGGGATTCTGTGTGACTAAACCCAAGTGAGGAGGTGAGGAGGAAGAGGAGCATGAGATGTGCTTACGAAGCATTTGTAAGAGTAGTTTTAAGGAAGGATGTGTGAGCAGAGGCAGTTGGAAAGGGAAAAGTCAGGGCTTGTAAGGTCATGTAGTCATACAGACACCCGTGGGGAAGAGACTGGCTGATACAGCTCTAGGAAAGACGTGGTGTTGTGCTGGAACAAAAAAATGAGACTATTGTGAGTCGCCTCGACACTTGGGTGTTATCCTTCCTTCTGCTGCAGCCTTCCCATGCCACGCGAGGTGAGTCACTTATATCAAAATGCCAGAGGCTTCTGACGTCGGCTTTATTTTCTGGTTGTCTTACATGGCAACCGATTTGAGCACTTAAAACTGCAGCTCCGGGGTCAAATCAAGGGTAAAATTAGTTTGAACACATGAAGTGCAATGAAACTGTTCTCTGATTTTTGTTTTGTTTTGCTTTAATCTGCAAAAGCTTCTACAGTTGATGTCATTGTGCATCTTGCGTAGGAATTGAGACGCCTGGAAAGGGTCACTCATGGATGTGCGACTTCACAATTTGTCAGATGCTCAGTTTTCTCAGTCTTCTTGGGAAAGCTGAGGAATTCACCTTGTACAAATGCAGTTTTGTTCCCACTAAAGATACAGAGACTAGTCTTACATTTATTTCTATTGACAGAAGTTCTCTTTTAGAGTTCATTGAGTTCATTGGGCAGGATGTAGGAGATGTTTGCGCTCTCTGTTAGTAATTTAGAGCAGGGATGTGCTATCTTCGTGGCCGATGTATAGGTTTTAATCCTACAGAGGAATAATTCCTTTCAGTGATACAGCAGTGCCTTCAGCATGTGGAGGAAGGTCATATTCATTCCGAGTGTGCAGCTTACAAGTGATCTAAGCAGCATGTGCAGAATGAATGAATCTTATCTATAACTCTGCTGTACAGTAAAGTCCATGGAGGCTATTTTTGACTTTAAAACCATTTAGAAGAGTTATATATTTAGAAGAATTCAATTTTTTTTCACTTAAAAGTTGGAAGAGAAGTGCTCCAATGATTTGAGCAGCCTTTCTTGGTGTCAGAAACCCAGAAGGGACTCAGGGATGTTATCCTTGTTACCTGGGCTCTGCCAGTGCAGCTGTGTTGGCAGAGTGTCCTGCTGGGGAAGGTTCTGCCACTGCAGCCATGTCACTTCCTTGGGTACAGTAAACTAATCCCACGAAACACTTTCTGTAGGGGAAGCTCCCGCTGCAGTGAGTTTCCAAGGAACAGCAAGGTCAACAAGGGAATGTGATTCCAC